AACTTACTTTTGGGTGCTGTTCCTATCTAATCATTCTAGTACCGGCGTTTAGCATAGAGAACAGTTTGCGATTACTAGGAAAACAGGATTATCTCGATGTTGAAGGTGTGCAGGTACGCAGAGGTAGATAGCACAGCTTTTCTGTCATTTGCAAAGGCGTGGCAAAGGAGCCAAGGACTTGCGAAGTTCGATGTCGACGTCTCTCACGGTAATATTCAGAAGTCCATGCAGACAGTTGCTGCTGCTCATTTCCACCTCTCACCAAGGGAAGATGATCTCAAATCGAGCTGAAAGCACAGAGCAATTTCCTAAACAGGAAGCGCTCCTCAAAGCGTCTTTTTTGCTTTGAGTTTGCTATGCGACACCTGGTAAAAATTTCCGGTTTTCAAAATTCACGTGACCCAACGGACTCTGTCGGATGCGCACGAGTAGCAGCAATTGCACGTAGACAACATCGAGGTCAAGACAGTAATAAATCAAAAGTTCGTTGCGTCCTTGCCATACACTTTCAAGAAGTCAGAGTTGTAAGCTCTTTGGCTGCGGATATACTCTCCATATCTGAGGGATGGACGGGGCGTGGCCGCCTGCTTCACTTGAACATGGCGGCGTCTCAGCCTGGCGTGGGATGTACAGTTTTTGGCAACTTCAATCATGTCCCCGGTTCAGCAGATGACAGTATGACAGTTGCCAGGATATCTCGGCCTGAAGAAGGTGCTACGCACCGAAATATAGCCAGATAAGATATATTTTAAAAAACTTTTGAGACTTTTGCTGTCTTTTGAGTTTTTTGGAATAAACTTTTGGAGTTTCACATTGTTAATACACATTCAGATGAGTAATGAGACTCCGGGACAGCACCATACTCCGAAGTATGACAGTTGTTTCACATGAATATATTGCATGAAAATGCACTCTACGCCATGGTCAAGTGAATCACACCCTCTCCATCTTCGTGATATGGAGTGTAGATATGGAGTGGTCGTGACAGCTTAATGTTCCCCATGTCTTCACCCGCCATTTGATACGCGACACGCGCACTATAGAAAGCCGTGTAATTATAGACAAGCGGTGTGCGGCTAGGGTCAGACCCAAGACTGACCGTGTGGCGTGTGGCGTCACTGTGGAATGCGTTTCGCGTATTGAATGAGAGGCGGAGAGATATACAGCGCCAAATCAGCGCCAGACCTGCAGCCTCATTGCCACACATTTCTGAATAGCGCACGTGCTCCATTTCTACCGTTGTGTACCTCATTCACCTAGCATTCGAGAAGGATCCACTTCTGATTAATACGTAGTGCGTTTTTAGTTGACTAAAAAGATTATAACATCGTTTCCCTTTCGGTAGGATAGTTACTCAACTCATAGAGTTTCATACAGTTCAAACTTCTAAGTCTTAGACACACTCACAATTTGATTTCAGATAGACATGGAGAAATTATAAAACAGAAAGAACAGGTAGATATTACGAATCTTAACTCATTCAGCGAAGACGAAGAGAACACAGTGGTCCCAGCTCATGAAGGTATGTTCTCGTGCTGCATTCGCACTAAAGCAGCGTTCAGACTTTGCGATGACTCGCGTCGACGCGCTGTAATGCGCTGCAATCGCAACAGACATCCAGTCCTATAGGAGACGCAGCCGCCAGCGGGAATCGATCGGCGCCGGCCACTTGTATTTTGGGAGAGTGTAGCATAACAGGAGGGTAGGCGCTGCTCTCACACTACGTTGCTCTC